GTAGTAAGGACACTCTTATGAATAATATATTGTGACTGAATTATCTCCATCCTGTATAGGAGCCATATCAGAAGAGAAATATTGTGTCCTATGTGAAAGCTGAGGAACTAATTAATTATGACAGCAGATTTATAGTCCTTATTACAAGAGATCCCAAAGTGCTTTAAGAACTTCTTAATTCTGCAGCTTCCTCCTCATGTGAGTAGTCTTTACTCATGAAAATAATTTCACCTGAAGTGTTTAACCCAGAGGTGGCTACATGTCAGTGTTGAATTAAATAATTTCTCTATATAGGGCCCAATCCTGCATCCCTTCATTCATCTGAAAAGTCCTTAACTAGATGTAGTTCCATTGACAAATTATTTTCATGAGTAAAGACTACTCACATTAGGAGGAGGCTGCAGAATTGGCCTCATAGTTCTTAAAGCACTTTGGGATCTCTTGGAATAAGGAAAGCAAGAATATGTTATCCAACTAGAATGATAGAAGGAATTTCAAGGAAAAATAATGCAATATCCCAAACTTAAATTTGGCCAGAATGCTGGAGTTAACTTCCCCTCTCAAGCAATATGTGTCATCGGACCTTTGCAAAGTCAGAACCACAATTTTATCTCTCTTCCAAAAGGGGGGTCCGAACTATTACCACAAATAAAGCTTCATATTGGGGGAGATCTCTCCATACCCAGTAATATACAATACACTTGCTACCATTATGATAATGTAATGGCCAGCGGCAATCAGAGGGGGGCCCAGGAGGGCCATTTGGCCTAGTCCTCAAGCTCAAAGGGGGCCTCAAATTTAGACACTTGTTAATTTTTTGGCATTTGATAAGTTTCACAACTTGTTTTTATGCACATCCCTATCGGACCAAAATGTGACACAGTCTCTCAGCTTAGAGCTGCAAATTTGAGCAAATAAGAGATGTGATTTGGTAAAAGACATAATTTTATTGTTAACTGATATATATTTTGTCATATTAAAGAGTTTAAAATGTTCATAAATATTAATAAAAATATATCTGTTCTGATGGCATAAGATTTGAACTTGTTCTCTCAGATCAGCTGATTATATAAACAAACCACTACAAGTGGCTGGTGCTGGATCAAGTGCTTGTTGAAAGGTAGAGAATTGTTACATTTTAGTGTCTTTATAGTTTTATGTCTAGTTGACTAAGGAATTATTTATGTGTGAGAATTCCTCATTATTATCTTCATATGGTAGCTAAAAGAGGTGACGGGTTGGTTGGTTGAACCCTAGCTTGGTAGCTTGGCCATCATCATTGGCTTTCATAGTCTATAGGCCCAGGTTTAAGGTGAAAATTTGTGAGGACAATCTTGTGCAGTGAGTTTCGTGAGGACACACGTTTGAAATTTTTTGACATTATCCCTCTGTCTGTATCTGTGTCAGTGTTTACTATATATATATCATCCCTTTGTCTTCAGCTCAGCCTGTTATATTATACCTTGCGTGCTTGAGTTTTGATTCAGTGATAAGGATAATAACCTGTATGACTGTTTCATTTTGTGTACTTAATTAGTATTCCTTCGTTTTAAGTCTTTTCAGCATTTGTGTACCATTCAGCATTTATATACGTTTACAGTACAAGATTTCAAGTGTAGATAAGCTACATATTTACAGCAGAACATTTCAAATATGGTTGGCAACATGTTGCATATTTTTGTCAGTTTGCCTGCATCAGTGGCTTCAGGTGAATGCACCTTCAACGTGTTGAAGCAGGTAAAGAACTATCACCGTTCAACTATGGGACAAGAGCATTTGAATGGGCTCGCCATGCTTTATATCAACTGTGACATTGCACAAAAGCTAGATTTTTCCTCAACAATTAGTGCATTTGCACAGAAAAAGGCTAGAAAAGCATTTGTTAAATAAAAAAATATTCAGATTATGACTCACTCTTTTTTTGGTGCCTTATTTTGTTTTCATGTGTCATCATTTTTTAATTTTTATTATGGCTAGGAGCCTCAAAAGTGGGAAGTGGCCCGAGCCTCTCTGGACCTCAATGGCTGCCCTTTTGGCTAACACAGCAGGGATTGAACCAGGGATCCTCTACAGATTGGCACCTCTAACACACACACACCAGTCGGTTATATTGTCACACCCATCCCTTTGCTAAATTTGCTTGTGTGGCCTTAACATTTTTTACTGTAGTGCAGTAGTACCTGCTTCACACCTTATATTGTATTAGATGACAGGTTAGAAAAGGTGATAATTTTACATTAAGACAAACGCAATTCCAGTTTCCTTTTAATAGTGAAACACATAAAGCCTTACTCTACTTTAATAAATCTGAATTCCATTGGAAATCTGTAAAAGATCCTGTTAAGCCACCTATAACAGTAGCCCATAAAGTGTAACTGTTCACTGAAACAAACTCTTTGAATAGGGAGGGTGTATGATTGCATTGCTTCTATCATCTGCAGGATTATTCAGGGCAGGAGGGATATGAGTTGAAGGTTTAAAAAATAAATTGTGAGACAAGAATCTCAAATCTAACCATGAATTGTGGTGAAAGCTGAATACCAGGATGAATTTAAAAAGTCTAATACTGTCTTCATGATTACCCAGGAGGAACTAGAGGGTTTCTTTTAATCTGAGATTGGGAATGAGGAGAAAAAGAGTGCAGAAAAGGAGATAGGAAGTTTTTAGGCTTTAGCTGTCAAATAAAGAGGTGTACAGCTTTCCTGTTAAATCTCCTTCAAGTAAGTTTAGTATCTGGCCCTCGCAAACTGGTAAAACACAATTTAAAATCCATTGTAGACATTTGGCTGTCATTATAACAAACCTCATGACAGTGAGAAAAGCCTTTGGAGTACAGCCATCCCGAAGTTTAGAATGATACAGCTGCTTATCTTTGTGACATTTTTAAAATTTGCTCTTAATTTTTTTAAAACGTCCTTTTCCATTTTTTTGAATGCTGGAAACTTCTTAGAAAGAGGCTCATACGGCTGTAATTCCATCTCAGGGTTTTAATGACATTAATAAATGACTCAAGTTTCACTTGAGTGGTTTATGATATCACCAGAACCCCTAGATGGAATGTCAGCCTTATTTTGCACAGTTGGGACATTGTTCCTTATGTCATTGGTTAAATTTTTCTTCTTTGCTTGGTTTCTAGTTAATGCCAGATCGGCATTTACAATACAGCCATCATACAGAGCACCAACTCAAGTAAATTTAAATAATTTACCCACACCACCAATCTTTAGGTTTGGGTTTTTTAAAAAAATATAAATTAATGTTCAGTAATAAAATGTTCAAGGTAGTCTTTCTTGACAACAGTGTATATCTAAGCTGTCCAATCAATTATAATTTTGAATGGGAGGGGAAGTTAAAATTCAGTCGTCACATAGAAGATATCTTTCCACAGCATAACAATGTATGTGTGCAACACAGTGACAAAAAATGGAAGTGGGATAAACAGAGAAAATTAGCTTCAGAACATATTTGCAAACTTACATCTGCAAAATGAACATTTATTTATGGAATTCATAGAGAATAGTGTGTGTATGTGGTGATGGGGAGGTAAATACTGGAGAAGAGAAGTCACACTACGGTCACAAAATGACAAACCCAGGTAACTGAAGTATCTAGCATAATATAATTAGCAAATGTTAATGCAAGCAGGGTTGTGTATTTTTGGGACTGTCTTGATTTTAACAAGATGATTGTGTGTCCCACAAGCCATCCTAAAGCCATTTCAGGGCCAGCAAAAGATCATCATATTGTGATTTTTGCATCTTGATAATAGTTTGACACAATTTCATCAGACTATATTCTGAAATTGCCTAGGGAGGTTGTGGAATCTCCGTCTCTGGAGATATTTAAGAGTAGGTTAGATAAATGTCTATCAGGGATGGTCTAGACAGTATTTGGTCCTGCCATGCGGGCAGGGGACTGGACTCGATGACCTCTCGAGGTCCCTTCCAGTCCTAGAATCTATGAATCTATGAAATGACAGTCAAACTCACAACAGTAGCACTCTGAAAGGACAAATATAGAGAGGAGGCGATAGACACGGCTAGAACTGTGCAAAACTCAGAAAAACTGGGAGGCAGCACTGTTAGTGGAACTCCAGAAACCTCGAACCAAGTGGAAATGAGTGCAATTCCACAGAAGGATCAATTTGGACCATGGTGTCAGCTCCTGTCACTCACTGACTAATTAATAAGCACTTAGCCTATATGTGCTTTAGCTTCCCCATCTGTGAGAATAGTTTTCACAGCTCAAAGCACATTCCCTGAATTTAGAGACCAAACTGCACGCTTAGAGATGGAGCTGAAACTTCCCCAAAATCTGTGGTGTTTGGTTTGTCCATTGGTACAGCTCGTGGAAAGGCCATAACTTTCAGAACCAGAGGGGATTGTTCCCAAACTTTGGGGTGCAGGGATCGGAGTATGTGTGTTTGTAGGGGGGCAGGTGGCATTGGAGGAGGCTCCAATCCCTGGGGTCAGAGGTTGGCTCATATGGCTAGCTGGCGTGGAGGGCTGTACAGTGGAGCTCTCCCAGTCTCGGGTTCTGGGGCCGGGGCCAGGGCTCGGCCTAGGCCGATCTCTGCCTGGGCTCCCTCCACAAAGCTTGGGTCTGGACTTGATTTGTTCCCGGTTCCTTTGGTCCAAGCCCACGTCCGCCAGACACTAAGCGGACAGGATGCAGGGCTGCCTGCTCGTGGGGGGGATGTGCAAGTGGGGCAATTTGCCCCAGGCCCCGGCCCTCACAGGGGCCACCATGAGGATATAGTATTCTATGGTTTTGCAACTTGTTTTTATGGAAGGGGACCCCGAAATTGCTTTGCCCCAGGCTCCCTGAATCCTCTGGGCAGCCCTGGCAGGGTGATGACTCAGGGCAGGGGCGCGTTTGGCGGCAGGGGGCGCCTGGAGGGGAGAGGGAGCCCTGCCCAGCCGCTGCCGGGGGATCGCAGGCAGCATGGGCAGCAGCGTGTAACTCTGCCCGCCGCCCTGCTGGTGGGAGGCGGCTGCGCGAAGCAGGTGGGGACTCGCAGCCGCCGCCTCCCCCAGCTCGGCGGTGCGAGGGAGCTCCCGGGAGAACCCCCCCAGCTCCCGCCTCCCTGCCCGGCGCGGTGTCTGCGGGAGGCTGGTCGCTGCCCCCGCCGCTGGGAGAGGAGGTTATGTAAGGGGAGGAGGAGGAGCAGGACGGCTGCCGCCGCCGAGCAGGCACAGGGAGAAGCCGCCGCCCGCCCGGCTCTCGGGAGAGTCGCTGCAGCTGCCGGGGCCGACCCGGGATGCGCAGGAGCTGAGCGCGCGAGCAGCCGGCGGCCGCATGTGCGAAATTGGGACTCGCCCCGCGCCCGCCGGGGACAGAGGCGAGAACCCCGGGGGCGCGCCGGGGCTGCAGGCTGCGGGCGCCGCCGGGGACAAGTGCCGAGACATGGGGTGAGTGTCCCCGGGAGCCCGCGCCCCCCACGGCCGCTGCCGTCCCTTCCTGCCCCGGGGGCTCAGGTCGGGCTGTCCCCACCTGCCGCCGCCTCCCCGGGGGGTCTCTAGCGAGCCGTCTTGAACTTGCAGCCCCGGGCGCGGCCAGACCCCGCTCCCGGGTGCCGCGGGGCGCTGTACTGCGTGTGGCAGTTTGTATCAGGGCTCCTGTGCCTGGCTCCGAGCCGCCACCCTGCCCGGCTAACCGGGGGCAGCGCTGTTCCGGGCTCCTCTCCCGCAGGGGCGGTGAGTCACTCCACGGCACGGGGCAGCTGGAGGGGGCTCGCCGGGGACAGAGCCGGCTCTGTCACGGACAGTGCTGTCTGCACCCGCGGGGCTGGAGAGGAGCGCGGAGCGGGGGCTAGGGGAGCTTGCCCGCGGACGGGACTCGGGTGCGAACTGAACGAGCGGGGAAACGCCAGATCGAGCAGAGGTAGCCCAGCAATGGGAGACGGAGTGGGGCTGGGTGGAGCGCGAGCAGGTCCCTAATACTTTGTGCGCTCTGGCTTCGGGGCTTGGTGGTTGTGGTTGAAGTAGCGCAGCAAAGATTCATTTCTGGCTGGTGGATTTAATCTGGTCCGGGGGCGTTTACACTAGTCCTAGGACTTGGCTTGGGCTATGTTTTCTTTTTGGTTCCTGTCTTGTGAGTTATTTTTGTTAAGGTTCTCGAGGCCTTTGTATGAGAGTTCCTAATGAAAATGTATTTGCAGTGTGGTTGTTGCCCTGTTGGTCCCAGGATATGAGCCTTTCTCTGTTGTTGTTGTTTTTTACGTTTTAAGTCTATTTTTAAAAAAGCGCTTTACTTCATTAAAACACTTTCATGAAGTGCTTTGAGATCCTCAGATGTGCAAAGTATTATTATTCAGTTTAATGTTTTTAAACGGAGTTTAATTGATTTTCATGCTGTAAGTGATAAAATAGGATCTTGTACAAATAATATGGATAACCAAGAAATAAGCATAAATGTAAAAAGGGGAGCAAAGTTTTTTAAAATTTGAAGATGTTAGCTTTGCTGTTAGCGGTAGAATAAAACTTGAAGAGTGCAGAAATGTTCTTGTAGCAGATAAACACTGAGGTATGATTTAAATGGCTAAAATGACTGAACAGGTGCCTAAAATATAATGTGAAAGATTCTAATCTTGAAATGAGTAATCTGTTCATATGTATAAACTCACTTAAAAGCAGAGGGTTTATTTTCAGTGACTCTATGTTGTAATTCAGCCAGAGTACTGAGTCACAGAAAGCACACAATAAATTTGTCCAAACATTATTGTTTGTTATATTTAGATAATTGTTTATGAAAGTTTTCTCTGTTTAAATGCACAAGATTTTGGTCTGAGAACATGCCTCACTGGACAACTCAGTTTGATATTTCAGAGAAACTAATAGTACATATTTTTAATATCTTGTAATTTGAACAAGAGGTTAGAAGGTAAATACTGTGCTTTAAGGAATTTGTAAACTAAAACCTTAGAAAACAAGAATATTTTTTTCATTTTTAAAAAAAATCATATATTTTCAGTGTGAACTATGCCTAGACTTGAAATCTTCTTTACAAGACTGGAAGGTGGTATGCTGGGGGGATTCCAAAACCCACACATCATTTAATTTGCTATATTTGCTGTATGTTCTCTTACATCTTTCCTCTTCTGACCCCCATGTGGTGAGGAATCATTCTTTAATTTCTCAGTTTACTTATGCCATTTTGTAACTACGCAAGCTCCCACTACAGAATTTATTACAGTATCACTGAAGTGGCATAATTTGCAACAGTTATGCTAAAGGTAAATAATATAAACACGAACAATTTAAAAATGCAATGAATGTGCCTGATTTTGATGTAGAGAACTTTTGGAAAGAAGGTGGGAGGAGGAAGTAAGTATGAGGTGATATAAGTGGATATTGATCAGCATGCTACACCAGAACTTCTCTGATGGGCTCATCAGTTTCTTCATTAAATAAACATTCATTTAAAAACAAGATAGCATCTTGCCTTTCAAATTATAAAAGTAAGTTTCAGAATATGAACTGATGCAATGCTGTCTCATTGCATCTATAGATGGACAGAAAAATGGGTGTGAAGAAGTGCCCCATTCTTCTCAATTGGGTGGCCAAACAATATTTTCATTGTCATCCTTGTTAACTAACTTTAGCAGAATATTTTTAGCTATTCTGGCATGAGAGCTTGAATAAAAATTAGAAAACATCTTTTAAAAAAAACAGTCTGACCTGGAAACAGAGAAGTCATATTCCACAGAAAAACTATTCTTTAAAAGTTCCAAAGGATTTGAAGTCCACTGATCTACTTGCAGAGTGCTATTTGTACTTCTTGTGTATTTATGATATTACCTAGGCTATTTTGCGTTAGGCAAGCCTATAATAAATACAAGGTGGCTCCACCAGTGTGCCTGATTCTCCACCCATTCTTGCACTAATGCAACTCAGTTTACGCCAATGAAGTTACTTCAGGCTTAAACCGGTATAAGTGAGAGGTGAATCAAGCCCCCAATTCTACATTTTCATGGTGTTTGTGGGCTGAAGATTCCATCTGTATTATCAAAACCCACTGTCTTTGATATAGTTATTAGTAATGCCTCATGCACAGTTAAACTTCAGTTCACTTTTGTAGTGTAGATTGAACCATGTTATAAATAATGCTAAAGCAGCTGTGGCATACATAGTGCAGTGGTCCTCCCTCCCCATCTGAAGGGCCAGTCCAACCCTGAGTGGCGCTGCGACTTCATGCACCAGGGGCCAGTTTCTAATGCCTGGAGTGGGGAGCCGAGCCTGCTCAGCTCTGCGGGACAATATTTGCTTCACTCAGGACAGGGGGTTTTGTGGGTCAAAATGATATGGTCTTGCGACTCCCTAGGGGGTCACAACCTGCAATTTAGGAAATGCAGATCTAGTGAAATAAACACAGGCTTGGGAGTGAAGACACTTTGATTTTATTCCCAATTTTGTCACTTGTATATTAAGTGACCTTGAGCAAATCATTAGCTCTGTGCCTCAGTTTCTCCATCTGGAAAATGGACATATTAGTGCTTTGAGATGTACATTTTTCCAATATAAAAGTGCAAAGTATTACCTTGCTGTTTATCAGGATTATAGACAGTCTGGTTTGAGAATACTATTCAGTTCTGTCTGTGGTGCAAGAACAAACTTCAAGTGCGTAGGACACTACTTGTTCCAGCTAGGTCCAGTAACATGGCAGGTTTTGATAAATTTACATGGGACCTAGTCAGGATCGTATGGAGGTGGAAGCTTGCTGTGAATGGGGGAGGGGAAGAATAGGAAGGAGAATGAAGGAAGCTACTGAGACTTAATGGGACTTGGGCGCGGAAGGAGCTGGTTGCAGGCTGGTATGGGGCATCCTGGTAGTTCCTACTGCTGTTCCTATGACAGTTCTTTGGTGGCTGTTGCTAACTGCTTTGTGTCCGCCCCCCGCCCTCTGATCAGGTGCCAGTGCCTTGTCCCCCGTCCCAGTGGCCGGTGCACATGCTCCTGCCCATCTCCTGATCCAGTGTCTGGCCAGAGTGGCTAGAAGGTGGGTAGAGCAGAGGTGTTACTGCTGGCTCCCTTCCTGCCCGCCTGATCTCGTATGCTGCAACCATGGCCACTCCAGCCCTTCCTCTGGGTCCCACTCTCACCTCTGTGAGGTAGTGTGAGGGCAAAAAACATGGTGTGTGTGGGGGTGGGAGGGAAGGGGAGGGAAGGGAGAGGGCTGAAACACACATTGTCCCCTCCCCCATATATTGATTGCAAGGGTACTAGCCCCATCTCACCACCTGGTTCCTCCGCCCCTGGTTCCTCATGTGTAAAACGTGAGAAGAATTTGGCTCATAGCACTTAAAATAGTTTTTGTGTGGCTGGCCATTATTAATATGTACTGTCCCTGGGTTTGGCACTGAGTAACACTACAGAAGTATGAAAACTGACAGCTACCTGAACTGTGCAAAACTAGTTATTTAGCTCATTAGCGTAAATCTCCTGTGAAGTGAGAGATCTAAAGAAGCATGGGGTGATGCAGTTCAGCTTACTATACTGCAATACTTTTTTCAAATTTTACAAAATTACTAAAAAATGTATGTTCAGCTAATCATGAGAATGCCGCTCTTGTATAAAATGTCCCCTAAACAAAGAGAACTTGACTCCGAAGCTCATGGAAGTCAATTCAAAGTCAAGTCTTGTTGATTTCCATGGGCTTTGGATCTGGCCCTAATGTTGTTTACGTTGAAGAAAAATAGTTCTTTTCCCCCCAGGGCTAATTCCCCATCCTTGCAATCCTACAGCTGTGGTACAATTATCTCAGTAGTCTGGCTAATATACTTTAACTACTCCCAAAACACTGTATATCGGGCTTCCAATGTCCAAGACTTTTTTAAAAAAAATCTAAACATACCTCTTGAGTTATGTCTTTTCACACCTCAGCAAAGAACTAACAAAGCAAAGAAAATGACTAGCTTATCTGTTGCTCAGATTTCTAAACTATATCTGCTAATCTAACAAAGAATACCTGTTTCAATTTGACCTCAATTTTTTTAAACAAAAAAAGCTAACATTCTGTTGTAAAAGTGGCACAATTTTAGTTATTAAAATGATTTTAAAAGGTATTAGCTACATTTTCCCCTTTCTGTAATCTAAGACTCTTTTTACCATTTTAATTTCCACAATACACTGGCAGTTCCCTTTAATTTTCCAGATCCCTCGGTTACAAAATGTTGCTTGTTAGTAGAGAAGTGGCAAATACCCAGTTTGGATTAGAGTTGTATATCGATTCTTTGCCATTGAAGATGGTGTTGTTCATATTTGTTGGATTAAAATTCAGCTGGTCTAAACACCTATTAGCAATGAAACATCATTTTAAAGCCCTTTTTAATAAAGCATTTGTATCAAAATGAAAATTAATCATCCAAATATTAAAACGCACTACAAGGAAACACCATACAAATTAAATGCAA